TTTTATGAAATATCATGTGATAAAATATAATTTTGAAATTATTTCAATTAAATTAGAATAAAAAGAATAAAATAAAAGAATGAAATAATATGGTTAAAAATTTTTAAATAAAAAATTATTTTAAAATATTGTTGAAATATCATAATTTATTATTTTTGTTTCAGGTAAATGATGAAAGTGTTGAGCACATGACGACAGCTGATATAATAGATCTGTTACGCAAAATAAGAGGTTCAATAGGTATTACAGTGATGAGACGAAGCAAACGAGAAAACGTAACGTGACGTTAATTAGGTTAATTTGATTAACAAAAATGAAAAAAACTTTCACGTCCATCACGGTATCATGTTTCTTTCATTTTCAAAACTAATATCCAATTTATGAACGAAATGTTACGATATAGGTCAATTCTTCGTTCTTCATTTTCAACATAAATTTTATTAGCTTATTAAAAGACAATTTGTGCGTTAACTATTTATAAATGGAATCGATATGTTGATCGAGTGCAATATACATATATAAATGTTGCTGTGAATACAATTGTAAATATAATATATGAGAATCGAAGTCTTAGACATGATTACTTTTTCAAAAAGAATGCAATTCATGCGATTATCGCATAATTAATCAATGTAATTGCATTCGTTATAACACTCCATCTAATACTTAAATTTAATTATTGTATATTTCAAAAATTATATTATTTGTGTAGATGAGATAAAAATATCCAATTGCGGTTTATTGAAACGAGTTTTTTTAGAGTTCGTTTAAAGTAAAGTAATAAGACTGCTTTAAAAAATAGAAAATGGCGAAGGTATATATGAATAATAGTTGTTTGCCATATAGATATTTATTCAATAAATGCGAAAATATGATAGCGCTCTTTATTTTTACGTAATTTCTTAAAAATTATAAACTTCATATTTGAGTATATATAGATATATTATCGGTTGTAAAAACATTAATATTTTTATAAATTTTCGCTCTGAGCAAACCTCTCTATCTTTTAGAGGATTTGAAACCATAAGACATTCAATGTATAATTGTAAAAAGTTATATTATATCTAACTTGTATAAATATCTCAAAAACACTATTTACAAATATTTTAAATTTTAATGAAAGATATTTTAATATCATAAAGAATATGTTGAAATTTGATTATAGAAACTAGGCTGAATTAAATTTATAACGAGAAATTCTTGTTACTATCAATTTCCTAAGCAAAATAAATATATGTTTTTAAAATTAGAGGAAAGCTTTTAAATATAAATTTTTAAATGAGTAAAATCGAAATTCGAAAGTCTTGTGATTTAAAAATTTAGTATGATAATTAAAATTTCACTGAAAAAGATTAAAATGCACGGTTTCGAATCCTACATCCATTAAAAGTTAACAAATTCGTCAACACGATATAAATTGCTTCTTGACAATCCAACGATTGTCCGCTGTAATTGAATGAAAACTTTCTTGAATTTCAAGAAAAGTGTTTACAATGTGATTCATCGTGATAACCTTTTTGAAAATAAAAACAATAAATGTGTTAATAAAATAAAATTCTATAAATAAATATTCTAATTAATAACAAAATATTCCTTTAATTGTATATAAAATTTCTTCTATCAATGTCTACATATTTACATACAATATATAAAAAATATATAAAAAACAAAAGTGATTAAAATTTTTCGAAATTTTAATGAAAGCAATAAAGCAAAATAATAATAATAATAATAATAATAAATCAAATTTGATAATCAAAAAATTAATCAAAAAAATATAGAAAATATAATAATATATAGGAAAATTAATAAGGAAAATTCTTTATCACATCATTGAACCATGTAAATAGCTGTAACATAGTTTTATTTTATCATTACATTTTCAAAGTTAGAAAACAAGATATAATTCGAATATTTCGAACATATCGTTGCAGATTATATCACATACTGCACGTATTTGCGAAGTGTAATGTGAAATATGCTTGCAATCACAAATATGCTCATAAAATTAACATATCACATTTTCTTTCGAATAACATGTTCTTGATAATTTTTGTAAATATAACATTTTAAATGTTATACTTATGTAATATAAATAAAAATTGTTTGAAAGAAAGTGTGATAATTATTATGCAAAATCTATTATTGCAATAATGTTGTTAATATTTCACGAAACAAAATTATTCGTATATTATCTATAAGAGAAACGATAAAGAAAAATTGTATGAAATAAAATCGTAATCGTATTATATTAAAGTCCTGTGTCATAGAAATGATTTAAGGCTATTTGAATTTTAGCGCCATTCTTTAGAGTGTTCACATGTAGTAAAATGCTTTCGCTTGGCGCGGAAGAAAAGATATATAACTTCCCAGATTAATTATAAATCTTTACTTTCTATAATTTGATAATTTTAAATAATTAAAAAGCTTTTATATATCTATACGCTATTTTTTCTTAATTATAAATAACGTTTATCGTTTGATACTACTATATCAAACATTGTTTGATACTAAGTTAATGAACAATGAAAATAATAGCATGAATTTAAAACTATCTTTTTCAATTCTTTAGGAATAAATTTATAAATATTATTTTCACATTAAATTCTAATTTAATTTTACTTTTTAAATCAATCTTTATGTTTCAATTTCAATTTCAAAAAACTGATTTATTATTAAATTTAAAAAAAATGAAAATAGGTTATATTCAAATACCTTAAATATTATATAATAGATATTTCAAATTTTGAAATTTAAAACATTACTTTTATATCTTTTTTCTTTCTTTTTTTTTTAATTTTCTTTAAAACTATCATGGATCTCATATCATACACAGGAAAAATTGCTTAATATATTTAGAAGTGTAATAAACGTTGAGTAACTACCTCGCGTGATGCCATACCATGCACCAGTGGTTCTCAAACTTTTTATGCGTAACCATTCAAATAAAAAATAAGAAGTAATTATATAAATCAATAAATTATTCAATAGTATAGAATAAAATATTACAAAAAATTCTAACAATTTAAATTTATAATTTTATCAAAAAATAGTAAAACAAGAAACATATTTTTAACAATAAATTTATTTTTGAAATATAAACATTAAAAAGAATATAAAACAGAATAAATTATTTATATAAAAAAAAAATATATAATATATGATCATTTAAATAATATATGATCATTTAAAATGAAAATAAAACAATATACGATATAACAATTTAATCAAAATAATAATTTAACTGTTTAATTATACATAGAAAAACATATAATATTAACCAATAAAGAAATTTTTTTCAAATATATTTATAAAAATGAAACTTATGATCATAAATTTCTAAAATATATTGGTTTCGCAAAGAAAAAAAGTTTCAGAAACACTTATAAATATTTAACATCAAAAAATTATTAGCGCAACTCAATTAAAAAAAAAAATCATTAAAAATTTCATTCTTCTTAATATATGTTGCGCTTATATTTATCCAAAAATAAAAATAATGTACGAAAATAATAAATCATTATAATTATAATAGTATATTTAAAAAAAAACAAAGTGTATTTAAAAAAGAATAAAATGTTTTTCATAAATGTGATAGTCCATTAAAATGTTAGAAGCTTTTAAAGTTCTATATAAAAAATATATAAAAAATATTAGAAAATATAATTAGAAAAAATAAAATGTACATAAAATTAAGTGTATAAATGATACCAAAGTGTATGAAAAACAATATATAAAATAAAGACACATATTTTATGCCTAAATAATGTCAAAGACAGCTATTTTAGTGTTAAGTAAATCAAGCTTCTTATATTATTATTATTAATATGAAGCTTATATTATTGTTAATGTCTACATGAAGGTGAAATATAAAATTTTATGTGTTTGTCATCATTTTACCATTGTTGATCTCTTTCTGATCAAAATATTACAATAAAATTTAATGTCTTTGATAAACAGTTTTGTATTTTTTTTTCTTTATAATAAATTAATATATTAGAAGGAGAAGGAGAATAAAATTGTACATATATTAAAAAAATTAAAGTATGATTACTTTTTTTATATTTAATGTAAGATAAATATATATACTTATTTATTAAATATTTAATAAAAAATATATAATAAAGTCAAATATAAAATATAAATTAATACAAAGAAATAATTATTTTTTACATCACTATATTTCAAAATTTCAAAACTAGATTTCAGCAAAATAAATCAAAACACTTAATTTTAAACTTTTATGAATTATTATCTTTTATTTTTCTTCTAGTAGATTTTCTTAAAATAGATATATCTTCTGTAATATTTCGTTCTCGTTTTCTTAATCGTGATTTATTTCGTAAACATTTAATTGTTTCATCATTAGAAGTACATAAAGATTCTTCGATATTTGTTTCTTTAGTCTCAGGAGAATAATTATGAAATGATTTTTTAATTTTTTTTTTTATATTTGGTATGATTTTATTATCAGTTTGCATTAAATCGCGTGTTTTCTTTTGAAAAGATTGAATTCTATTATATTCAGGAGAAGAACTTACATTTTCTTTTTCCAAATTTGAAAAATTGATTACACTATTATTTAAAAATCCATAATTAATAGAATGTAATTCTCCTGTAAGATTGTTTTAAAATAATAATTAATTCAAAAATATATGATTTTTATGATAAATCAAATTTTTTTTATGGTCAAATCAAAATTATTTAATTTTTTTATATTGAGAATGCTTATATTGAACCATATATGGATCAATAAAAGATATTATATAATATCCATAAAAAATATAAAATAAAATTTGATTAACTTTTAATAGAATCTTATTACATACCATAATTAAATTTACTGTCAGTGCTATCATTACTTGATAAATCACATGCAATATCTTGCAAGATAGATTTTGATTTCTTATCTTGTCTTTCTTCTTGATCTAGAGTTCTATCAGAATCAAGATCTTTTATGTTCGAACTAACAGAATTTATCTGTTTTATTTCATTTTTTGAAGATGATTCTTTGTTTTTTCGTAACTTCTTATATTTGGAAGTATTAGATAGATCTTTAAAATTATTTGATACATCTTCACAAAATGTGTTTACCATTATTGATTGTGTCAGTGGATCATAAGTAGAAATATCATTAAATGCATTTTTTTCTATTTTATTTATAGGTGAATGATTAGATTGTAGCATTGATTGTTCTTGATCAACATTTTCCTGATCACTTGTCTCAGATTTATTTTGTAAAACAGTATTGGAAGGAGATGATTCTACATTAAAAAATTTATTTGGCTCAGTACTAGAATACATTTGTAATGGACAAGTAGAATCTGAATCAGAATCCTCAATATATACATTAGATTTTAAAGAATTAAAGTCATTTTGTTCAGTATAAATCAATGAATCATCTAAATTTTCCGTTGTTTGACATTTATTTGGAACATCCTCATTAATCTCTTTTTCTATATTTTCCTTCAATAAACTACGTCTTACTGATTGTCGTTTTGTAGTATCAATGTATTTAATATTTTTGATTAAATTTTCAAAACTATCTTTGTGTGTTTCCACTAATAAAAAAAATAATTATCAAAATATTATATACATTATATGAAAAAACTTAAAAATTTAAACTTACAATATTTTTTTCTTTCATTTTCTATAACATTTTGTTCTGTATTTCTAGTAAAATGTAGTTTCTAAAAGTTAATAATTTTAATTAAAATATCAAAACATAATTTAAAAAATTTAAATAAATAATATAATGAGTATTTACATTTAGAAATGTTTTATTAATTTTTCTTTCTAAATTTTCTTCATCTTCACATTGTTTTACTAATTCTGAAATTGATCGTGGATTTGATTTATCACATTCTGCGTTATAAAGAATAATGTATCTTTGTAATCTATTTTCCATAGTCTTTCGATCTCCTTGTAATGATAAACCAAATTCTTTTAATTTTTTTCTTAATATAGCATCTTTCATTAAATTAAATACTAACTTTGGTAATGGTTTACGTATTGATTCTTTTCTGTAAAAATAAATACTGCTTTTATACATATGATATGATAACAGAATATATATATTTTAAAATTTTATTATTATGTAAGAAAAAAAAGATTATAAAAATAAATGCAAAAAAATTTAAATTTGATTATTCTTACATTTGAGGTTTTTCTTTCATTGATTCTCTTTTTAGACAATCATCAAGATGTCTATTTATTTTTATTTCTGAAATAGTAACTTTACATACTGGACATATAACAACCTTAGTTTTTTCTATATTTGTTACTGCTGGACGTTTATGGCTTTTAGGTGTAAACATTAAAGGTATTCTAGATATTCCACTTGTACTAGGACTAAATATATTGTTTTGTATATTTATAGATGGTGATATGTTATTTTCAGAAGTATTATTAATAATCTGATTACATATAATCTTATTTTCTTGTTCATTTACATTTATATTATTATTTTCATGCAATAATTTTGGTATAGTAGAAACCTGATTGTTTTCATCAAATTTTGTAAATTGAATATGAATTTGTAAAACTCTTTTTAACTTATCTTTGATTTGTGAAAATTGTGTTATAATTTCATCTAAAATTTTATTTTTCCTCAAATCTTTCTCAAAAGTTTCTGCAAAACATGCAGGGCATTGTGTTTTATAATGTAAATATTTTCTAATACATAGAGAACAATCTAAAATTTAAAAGAGAAATAATAAACAAAATTTTATTAATTTATAAAAAATAAATATTTTTTTTATCTTACAATTGTGAGAACATGATGTCATAACAGATGTATCCATAAATTCATAGCATATTCCACAAATTAATAAATTTTCTATATCCTGTAAAAAAAATCACTTAACATAATTATTTGCATTATAAATAAGTAAATTTTAATGATAACAACTTTTACCTTTAATGCTATATATTCTTGAGGCCACATTGTATAATGATATATAATAAATATGCAAAATAATTTTAAGGTTAATTTTAATAATTCTTTTATAATTATAATAAATACATTTTTTAAAATAACAAATAAACAAATTTATTATATATCATCTGTTAAAAATATAAATATAAAATGTAAAGACATAAAAGATGAAATACAAATAAGTTTATTATTATATTAGTATTTTTTTTCGATAGTATATACATTGTATACATTTACTACGTAAACCATGATAATTATTGTAATTATATAATTTTCAAATATAAAATATCTTACAATTAAAAAATATTTTACATGTTTGTATAATTGTTTAATATATACATATAAAAAGATAAAGTAATTAATATTTATAAATACTTTAAATCGAACCGGAAATTGTTAAAAGGTTTTACGTAATTTTCATGTTTCTATATAATAAGCGAAGGTGCAGCAAAACTATTGTGTCAAAATAATTTATTTTATACCATGAATTTAATTCGGTTAGTAAGTTTCTAAATCTATGAAGAATATTTTTTTATTATAATATTTGAATATAAATATATAAAAAGAATTTAAATTTTAAAATGGAAGGTTATATTCTTAGGTTTGCCATAAAATCCAGTATTGTTGGTGGTATCGTATATTATACTTATAAGGAAGGATTATGGTCAAAATCAGAAGAAACTGCTGCATTGTATAAAAAATTAAACGTAAAAATTGCTCCATATGTTAAAGAAAATGTACCTGAAAAAATTACAAAAGAGGTAATTTTATTTGATGTTATCATTTATTATTCAATATTTTAAAAAAATTAAAATTAATATCTCTTATTCTTTATAATAAAATGGTATAATGTTATATTTAATAGATATTTAAATTTTTAACTTTCTAATATTTATAGAATTTAATTTGACATTTTATTTGACATATTTTGCAAAGAATTAACATATTAAAATGATTAAAAAATTATGAAATATTTGTTTTCTGAATGAAATGTTTTTATTTAGATATCTCAGCTACCAAGTGTGACAGATATTACAAATTTTATTAAAGTAACTTGGAACAAAGGTGTTATGTCCAGCATGGGATTTGTCTCTAATTTACCAACACATACTTTTAATAGTGCTACTAGTTTATATGAAACTACACAAAGCTACATAAAAGAACTTAGTGTATAAAAACAAACATAATTTTTATGTAATATTGTTAGTATTTTCTTCTATATATTTTAGATAAATATTATATAATTAATATTTATAAATAAGGAATTTATTATTTATTTTATTTTTGAAATTGTTTTTATTTATGAATATACCTATGAAATTGCATCAGTATAAATATGAATAAATATGAATAAAGAAAATAATTAATATATATAAAAAATCTGTTTATTTTTTTTAAGCAATTGAATATTTAAACATATTAATCTGAATTATTATTATTTTAACTCAAATTTTGTTTAAATCTTACGTTTAAGCTTAAAGAAGTTATTTTATGAATTATCTAGGAACATTTTTTATTTTTTCTATTGCATTGTTGGATGCATTGACTAAACTTTCTTGTGTTCATAAAAATTCAGCTTTAGTAAATGAAATGTCAGTGAAAAGCATCTTAAATCGACACCATTGTATCATATTTCAGAAGTATGTATATGTGATAAATAACGTAAAATATTGGCTTATCTATTAAAATTAAGTGAATAAAAAAAATATTAAGTAATGCCTGCACAAGAAGTTGCAGTTGTACAACCACCGGCGACTGAAAATGAAGAAAATACTGCACCATCATCTCAGCCTATCGTAGGCATTATTTATCCTCCACCGGAGGTTAGAAGTATCCTTTAATAATATATATTTTGAAAAGAAAGCAATATTTATATATTTCAATAATTTTGAATGATCTTTCTAATAAAAATATATTTTTTATATGCACAATTATTATAAATTAGAGTAATAATTAAAATAATTATAGCGTACAATATTGGTTGTGTATATTGATTTATATATTATTATTAATAAATCATTATATTATTTCTCTTATTTTTACTATGTAATTTAATTTCTTTATATTTTATTCTTGTATATTTTTTTTAAAGAAAATAAAATTTGAAAATTTATCTTATAATGATTTATTATATTTTAATTATTTATAAATATTAGCAAATTATAATAGTATATTATATTAAATATAGTAAGATTAATTATTAAATATATTAAAAATAAGATGATGCTCAGAATAAATTTATATATGCATTTTTATTTTGCAAAAATTATTTATCAAAATTATTTATATATATATTATTATATTGGCATTTATTTGTATTGTAATTCTCCTTATGTAAAAATTTAGATATTGTTGACAAGACTGCCAGTTTTGTGGCTAGAAATGGACCAGAGTTTGAATCAAGAATTAGACAAAATGAATTAGGAAATCCAAAATTTAATTTCTTAAATTTTGGTGATCCATACCATGCATATTATCAACATAAAGTAAAAGAATTTAAGGAAGGAAAAGGTCAAGAGCCTACTATAGGATCAGGACCTGGAAAAACAATTAATCTTAGTGCTCATCAAAAACAGCAAGAAATTTTGAAACAAGTTGAACAACCATTTATTCCAAGAGATACTCCTGCAGAATTTGAATTTATTGCTGATCCACCTTCTATTTCAGCTTTAGATTTGTATATATTTTAATTAAATTTTGTATTTTTTATATATAATAGTTTACATAAAAAAAAATATGAATTATTTTATTTTAGGGATATTGTAAAACTTACAGCACAATTTGTAGCTCGTAATGGTCGTCAATTTTTAACAAACTTAATGAATAGAGAACAAAGAAATTTTCAATTTGATTTTTTACGTCCACAACATTCCTTGTTTCAGTATTTTACAAAACTTTTGGAACAATATACTAAGGTAAATAATAAATAATAAAATTATATTCTTATTTTTATAATTAGATATTAATCCTGAACTTTTTATTTAAATTAATATAAATTTATAGGTATTGATTCCACCTAAAGATTTATTACCTCGTTTACGTGAAGAAGCTTCTAATATGGATAAAATTTTGGAACAAGTTAAATACCGCGCTGAATGGTTAAAGTATCAAGAAGCTCAAAGACGTAAAGAAGAAGAGGAATTAGAACGCGAAAGAGTTGCATATGCACAAATTGATTGGCATGATTTTGTTGTAGTTGAAACTGTTGATTATCAACAATTTGAAGTTGGTAATTTTCCAGCTCCAACAACACCTGATGAAGTTGGTGCTCGAGTACTTATGCAAGTAATAAAATTTTATAAATTCTATTTTATTTTAAAATATTTCAATAAAATTTTTTATTATTTTTTTGATAACTCCTTAAATTTTTAGGAAAGAATAGAAGAAGGTGAAGATGTAGAAATGCAGATTGATAGTGAAGGAGAAGATGAAATGCAAAATCGTACAGAAGGTGAAAAAGATCGTGCAAAAGATAATAATCAAGTAAGTATTTCATATATTTAAATAAGATGTTTTCATATCAATAATGTATTTATATTATAAGGTACAAGATATGGAAGAGGATTCAAGTGATGAAGATGATGTATCACCTCCAGGTGATACTCATAAATTGAAAGAACCGAAACCACGTGATAGTAATAACATGCAACCTCCACCATTGCCACCTACTCCAGGAAATGTTGTAGTAAAGAAGGGATATGATCCTAAACAACATGGTAAATAAAAACATGATAAATAATAATAAATGAAAACATTTAAATATATGAATTGAAAAAGAATTAATTATAGAAATTATTGAAATTATAGAAATTATAAAAATAATTAAATAAAATACGTATATATATATTTTTTTACAGCGAATAAAACTGCACGTCCTGCTGCTCCCGACGAATACTTGATATCTCCAATCACTGGAGAACGTATACCTGCAAGTAAAGTCCAAGAACACATGCGAATTGGATTATTGGATCCACGTTGGGTGGAACAAAGAGACAAACATCTTGATAAGTTAGCTCAAGAAACAGTATTTGCACCTGGTACAGCGATTGAAGCCAGTTTGAAACAACTTGCTGAAAGGCGTACCGATATTTTTGGTGTCGGCGATGAAGAAACTGCTATTGGTAAAAAGATCGGAGAAGAAGATAAAAAGAAAGATGACAAAGTTACATGGGATGGACATACATCAAGTGTTGAAGCAGCAACTAGAGCAGCTAGAGCAAATATTACTTTAGAAGAACAAATTCACCAAATACATAAAGTTAAAGGACTTCTTCCAGATGAAGAAAAAGAAAAGATTGGTCCAAAACCTGCTAATCGCGCAGCTGAGTTGTCACACATGGCAGCAGCTGCTTCAAAACCTCAAGCTACATTAAAGGCTCCTCCAAAACCACCAGCTCCAAAACCAGTACCTGTTCCCACACAACCACCACCACCTCCTACTATGAGTATGCCTACTATGGGAATTCCTCAACCAATGATGCCGCAAGCTCCGATGATGATGATGGCTCCTATGCCTCCGATTCGACCACCACCGCTTATGAGTAATTTTATTATTAATTTTTTTTTAATGAAATATTAGAAATCTCATAATCAAAGTTAATAGTATATTTTCTTTATCCTTTTTTGCACAATATTGCTCTTGTTTTTTTACGTAATGAATATCTTCTTATTATATATCTTGTTATATTAATAACAAATTTGAATGTTCAAATACAAAATGGTTATTAGTATTAAATTCTTCAATTTTTTTTTTTAATTATAAATTATAAACATATATAATATACATATTAAATATCATCGATTTATTAAATTAAATATTTTTATTTTTAGCACCAGCAATGTCACCATTTATGCCAACACCACCACCAATGCAACCACCAATGACATCTGCTGTAAATATCTGCGAGTTAAAATAATTTCTAATTAATTAATATTTTAATTGTTTTAAAATAGATTTTTATGTATATTTTAATTGTTTTAATTGTATTTTAATATGTTTTTTAATTATTTTTTAAGATTGGATTAAAACATGCTACTGAACCTATGGAGGAAGAACCTCAAACTAAGAAACTTAGAACTGAAGATTCATTGATACCAGAACAACAATTTTTGGCTAGAAACAAGGTATATATTAATGATTAAAATTAAAAAAATATTATATACAAACATATATAAAAATATATATTTTATTTTTCAGGGTCCTGTACAATTAAATATTGCTGCACCAATGATGACAGAAAAAGCAGAATGGAAATTA